AAAAAAAAAAAAAAAAAAAAAAAAAAAAAGGCTAAAGATAATGATAAATGTTCCTTTCAGATAAACCTAAGTTCAGTGAATGCTCAGCAAACCTCTTTATGATTTAGGTGAATTACTTAAACTCTCCAAAACTCAGAGTTCTCATTTACATAATAGAAAATACTCTTGTTTACCTGTCACAATTATTTTGAGGATTAAATAACACAATTATTTTGAGAATTCAATAGCATTTCTGCACAGAATCAGGTACATGGTAGCTGTCACCACCATTTTCAGAGGCTCACAATTTTCTTGCTCATCATTGCTTATGTACCTACCATTCAACCAACTTTTACATATTTTTTAAAAAGACCCTTAAGTAACCACACTGAATTCTTTAAATGCCTCCAATTATTTATTTGATAATACTAACAATTTCATTTCTTAACTCTCTAAATCTATTAAATCTTCTCTTTAGAATATCATTAAGATATTAGCTAAGAATCCTGGATAAACAAAACATTGATTTCCTAAATTATATATGTAATTATATATTAAATTGTATGTATAATTTATATATAAACAAATTTAGTGTGTGTTTATATATACATATTTTTTGAGAGGGGTATTTTTTTTGTTTTTTAAGAGACAGGGTTTTGCCATTTTGTCCAGGTCTCCCAAACTCCTGGACTCAAGTAGTCCACCTGCCTCAGCTTCCCAAAGTGCTGGGATTACAGGCATGAGCCACCACGCCTGGCCTCCAAATTATATTTAAAATAAATTATTAACTTATTTCAGTATCAGCAGCACTTAAATCATTAAGTCCCTGTCTTGTTCCAGACTAAACTATTTCTACGAAAAGAAGTAAATCAAGAAGCTTATGGAGGGGAAAACAAAAATCCCAGCACTATGAGTAGCAATGCTGTTTTTTTCTTATAACACATTATTGTGCAAGAATCCTGCATGTTTGTTGAGGAGGGAGATTGTTTCTAAATATAAAAAATATACTGCTTGCTACATTTGAGGGGAAGGTTTGGAAAACTATTCCTAAAGAGCCAGACAGTAAATATTTTATGCTGTTGTACTGAAAAGTAGTTACAGACAATATATAAATGAAAAGCATGGTTCTGTTCCAATAAAACTTTACAAAACTAAGTGGCTGGACCATAGGTTATTGTTTGTCAGTCTCTAAGATAATTATTTAACAGAAAAAAACTTTTTTTTGATCACAAAGAAAAAGAAAAATCATCCATAATCCCACCACCCAGAGAAAAACTGGTTGATATTTTCAGGGAATATCCTTTAAGTATTTCTCTGTGTGTATGTATGTTTCTATGTACGCAGTACAGTATCAACAGAAAACCTGAAATCATACTTTATTATAAACAGCCATGTCAATGTTTTCTACATGCTATTAATGGCTGTGGTAAGATATGAATGCATGAATATACCAATTTATCTAAATAATATGTCAGACATTTAGGTTACTTCTGATTTGCAAATACTCTGATTACTATCCATTTTTTTAATTGTTAATTTATGAAAAAAAATTATTGTTGTTCATGCCTTAAAGGTTTTTGCTTGAAAATATGAAATGACCATTTGTATTCCTTCTTTTGCAAACTTCTCATTATTCTACTTTGCCTATTTTCTGTTGGGCTATGAAAAATTTTAAAATACTAATTTGCAACTGCTCTTAATATAGTAAGGACATTAATGCTCTCATACATCGTAAATACCTTCCCCATTTCATTTAAATTTTGTTGAATTTTTGTCTTGCTTTTTGTCAGAAGTTTTAAAGTTTTATATATTTCAACTTATCAAGCTTGCTGCCAATGACTTATAACTTTATACTTCTTTATATTTATGCTTAGAAAAGCCTTCCCTTTGCACAGATAAGAACATGCATTCACATGATTTTCTTACTAGGCACTATAAAGCAATAAGAAATTAATGTAAATGTCTTAACATGCATATGTACATAAACACAAATATATGTCCATAAATACACATAGTGTTCCTTTGACTCCATCCTTTCCAACTTCTTGATTTCCAGGGCCTTACTTCAAGCACAAATCATCTTTCATCTAAGCCACTACATAGTTATCCTATTTCCATTCTCAGTGGCTTACTATCCATCCTCCACTATGTTACAACAAGTAACAACTTCAAACCTGAAAATCTCAACATACTGGTCTCTTGCTTAAAATCCTTTCAATGGGAGGTCTCTGATAAGTTACTGGTTACAGTGGTGACAGAGTTTCTGAATGTCCATTAATACCCTGTGTGTGTGTGTGTGTGTGTGTGTGTGTGTGTGTGTGTGTGTGTGTGTGTGCGCGCGCGCGCGCGCGCGTGTGTGTAGAAAACCAGGCCCGAGACTGCCTATCTTTAAAAAGTCCTACTCTCAGAGTTGGCCCTTGGCTAGCATTGTGAACTTGGATTTTGGAAAGGTTCCCACTGCCTTAACTAATAAAAGTGGCTCACTCACCGTGCCTAAACTTATTTATGACAGATATGGTTTAAGGCTGAACCACAGCTGAACATCTGATTTCCTTCCGGGAGTTTGGAATTTTGGTGTGTGCTAGGCAGAGGGCTATTAGATATAACCAACCCTCCAGTAAAAACCCTGGGCACTGAGGCTCTAACAAGCTTCCCTGGTAGGTATTTCATACATGCTGTCACAATTTGATCTTGGGAGCGGTTAAGCACATCTGCTCTAGGAGAAGACTTCTGGAAGCTCACATCTGGTTTCCTATGTCGTTCACCCCATGCACTTTTCTCTTTGCTGGTTTTACTTTGTATTCTTTCACTATAAAATAAATCATAGCCATAAGTATGACTATACACAGATCCTGTGAGTCCTCCTAGAGAATGATCAAATCTGGTCTTGGAAATCCCTAGCAGAGTGAGAGAGTGAGAGAGAAAGAGAGACAGAGACAGAGAGAGACAGAGTTCTGTGTGTGTGTTTTACAACAGATAATAAACTAGATGGCCAAAAACTAAAATCTCATAGACAACATTTACAACAAACTAGATGATCAGGTATTCCCATGAACCCCCAAATACATGATGATAGGTCAAACAATTAACAGCCATAAGTCCTTCCTGGTACTGGTGTTTGTGCAGAAGAAAGCAGAGGAAATAACAAGGAATCTGAAACAGACCTGAGAACAGAAGAAGCCCATAACAGCCAAAAGGTATTCACAGAAAAGCATGGTGGCCAATTTTACAACCTCAGCTGAAACCCAGAACATTCAC